AATGCGCTTTACTTTTTTCAAATACGAACAACACAACAAGTAGAGAATACCAAAACGTTTGTGTTTTACACTTTTGCTAGTTGTCGCGTTTATGGAGGGAGCTGAGTGCTTTCAAAAATGCTGGTTAGACAATAAGCCCCCGTTTTAACTCAGCGAAGTAGAAGGTTTCTGTCTAGAATATCTGTCAATATTCGCTTCTAACATATTTATTTAAGAGTACCAAAAATTACATGAGTTGAAATGCATCAGAAGCAGTTGAGGTACCTATGTATCTAGTATGAAACTAAAAATAATTCAATTTGGTGACATACATTTAAATATAATGTGTAGCCCATGCACAACTTCGGTTCCATTATATTTCTTTGAAAATAGACACTCCACTAACCAATTTTGGCCTTTTTTTATTTATAATTACCACCTTTGATACTTTTATATTGTATTTTTTTAATAATTTTATATTGAAATTTTATAATTTAATTATTGTATTGTTTTTCAATTTGCGTTAATTGTATGTTAATACATTTTTGGATGAAGCTTAATTGAGTCATATATAAAACATTTTTATCACACACAAGTTGTACATAGACAAAATTTAATTTATGTGATTTATTAGAATACAGGAGGTTTTTCAGACATACATACCATGTAGGAATAAACTAGCTAGATACTGGCGTCAAATATCTGGAATTATTAATAATTGCTCTCGTGAAAAATGAATGCATGATACGGATTTTCTATTCTTACATAAGTTGTTAAATGGATGTAATATTACTTGCCAGAAGTTACTTGGCTTCGGCCGTAAATTTCTGATTCGGCCGTAAAAGATCAACTCGATACTTACAGCCTTTGGTACACAAATATCTATTTTAAATCTATGTATTTCTCATCTATAAAATTGTTATTTATGATAAAGAAATATTTTAGTTTACAAGAACAAATATAAAACCTGAATCGATAACAAATCAATGAAAATGTTGCTAGAGTTGGGGACATTTTTATGGAAAATTGTAATGTTACTATTTTACTAATAAAGCTACAGTTAATTTATCTTAGCATTTTATTTAAATATAAATATATTATCCGAATAAAATTAATGCCGCTAGTCAAGGTTTAAAGGCCTCGTCACTTCAAACTTTCTATGCTTCTAGTTTATATGTTTGTAAACAGATATCTATTGTTTCTATTAGGCTTAACAGTCTCCATTAGATCTTTCTTGGAACAAGATTACAGACTATAAAGGTAAGTTTCAACAAATTTATAGATTGGTGTCTATCCATTATAAATTACTTTCAAAGCTTATAATATGTTTGTTTATTCTTAAGAAATGATAAAATCTATCACATATCTTTTTATTTATATTTTTAAAAATAAGTTACTGCCTTAATTCCTATTTTTTGACATCCCTCGTATATGCTAAATAAATTTAAATTTATCACTTCAAGTGGTAAGAATGCTACCTTTAGGTATATAAGGGAAAAGTAAATTGGATTTTTTTTATTGTTGAGTTTCAGAAATATTAATTTCTCCTGGTTTTAAAATAAGATGAAATTATTAAAACGGACCTGCAAAGGCACCAATCTCACCAGTATTCATGTGACCTAATGGGTAAATTCAGTTTGGCTTACTTTTTATTTTATATATACAGTTTACTGATATCTACCTATAAACAATATTAACAGTGTAATTATTTGAATTATAAGTAGGTATCATTTATTACATTTGAATAAAAAATAGAAATTAAATTTTTGTAAAATGAAATTTTATGCATGAGTTGCATTGTTCTTTAAATTTGTTATTGACAAAATATTTACAAAAGAATGCTTTGGGTTCTGATGAAAAAACTATTTGATACGCCCATGGGGACCACGGCTGTCAAAAGTTCGTAGATACTGGCTTCAAACAAAGCCTTTGTAAAACTGCGCCCGTAACACATCTATATTTCATTTGTTTATCTGAGGTAATGCCAAATTAAAAAAAAAATAATGCTATTTTGTACCTATGGACAGAATTATTTTTGGTCAAACCTATTTTAATTACGACTCGCTATAGAGCACTTTAACAATTTGTTAGTTGCAATAATTAGTAACAAATCTGAATAGTATAAAATGAAAGAGAAGCAGAAAGTACTCTCATTTGCTTTTGTTTATCTAAACAGTTTATTACTTTTTTCGATGTAGTGGATTTGGTTGAGTACAACCTTGTTAATTTTGAAAAGTCATCAACTACCACTAATACATGCTTATAATTTTTATCTGTCGATGTTAAAGGTCCTAAGTGATCGAGATGATACGTATGTAACGGTCCATCTTTGGGTATAGAACGAAGAAATCCCTCCTTCTTTCCTCTGTCCTAAAATACAAGGTATGCAATTTCTAATACCATCTTTAATCTTTTCAGAAAGCTTATTAATGTAAAATTCTCTATTGACTATTTCTTCAGTTTTTGTTACTCCAAAATGGCCTAACTCATGAGATCTTCTAATAATCTCTTCTTCCATTTTTTCAGGTACTACAAATAATTCTCTTCCGTCCTTATATTTATACAAAATTCCTTTTTTCAAAAAATAATCATCGTAACTTCTATCCTTTTCTAAAATTTTATTTACAGCATTTAAATGTTTTATCTTTTTCTTGAGCCGCCTTAACTCGTTTTATCAAACTTTCTTCTACTATCGTTTCTTGTATAATCATTGCTATCGGATGCCGACTAAGGGCATCTACGTGGGACATACGACTTCCTTTTCTATGCTCTATTTCATAGGAATATTCTTCCAATAATAATGCCCATCTTGTGACACGCGTAGTTAGGTCCTTTTTGTCCATTGTTTTTTGAAATGCTAAAGAATCTGTTACAATTTTAAATTTGGTACCCAATAAATATATACGAAATTTTTTAACGGCTTGGATTATGGCCAGAACTTCTAACTCATAACTTGTATGTTTTTCTTCTTGGGCTGTCGTTTTTTACTCATAAAGAAAATCGGGTGAAATGTACTGTCGACATCGGATTTTTGTAAAAGACAAGTGCCATAGCCGTGTTGGCTGGCATCTGTATGTAATTCTATTTCGAAACCTGGTCGATAGATATATAGTACCGGCTCACTACTAAGAAGATCTTTCAATTTAAGAAAGGCTTGTCTCTGAGTTTCTTTCCATGTAAAAGGTTGGTTTTCTCTCAGTATATCACTTAAAGGTATTGCGATTATTGCATAAGAAGCTATGAATTTTCTGAAGTATCCTGTGAGTCCTAGAAACGACTGAATTTGCTTTTTTAGTTGTAGGTTCGGGATATTGTCTGATAGCTAAGCTCTTTTCTTCTGATGGCTGTACCTTTCCATCCTCTACAATAAATCCCAAAAATTCGACCCTTTTCTTCAGGAATTGACATTTCTTTATTTTGATTTGTAACCCGTAATCTCGTGTCTAAAAGCCTAAAAAAGTCTAAAACCATGTTTATTCTTTCTAAGCCTTCATCTTCATTGTTACCTGGAATTATGATGTCATTTATATAATATACAGCAATATTCTTCGTAGTTAATGGTCTTAAAATATGGGCAATAAATCTCTGGAAAACTGCTGGACTGTTACATAGACCAAAGGGGCATTTGAGGAATTCATACTGTCCATCCGGAGTAACGAACGCAGTATATTTAATGCTATTTTCTTCGATAGGTACATGGAAAAATCCGTTTTTTAAATCAACACTGCTGAATATCTTAGCTCCTTGTAAACTATCCAAGACATCTTCGATTATAGATAGTGGAAAACGATCCTTTACAACAACTTTGTTGAGTTTCCGGTAATCACAACATATTCGGGTTTTCCCATCTTTCTTTTTAACAAGAACTATTGGACTTGCAAAATCTGACGAACTTGGGCGAATATTTTTTTCTTTTAACCATTCATCTATTTGCTTCTTTACTTCTTCTTTTTCGGGTGCTGCCAATCGTCTGGGACTTTGATAAATTGGTTCTTCATTTTTCAAAATGATCTTCATTTCAATATTTGCTTCCTTAATTTTCATGGGTTTATAATTCTCTATCAGTTTTATAACAGCTTCTCTCTTTTATATGGACTCTATATGAATTTGAATTTGCAAGGATCTTCGTTCAGGCATATTTCCATTAGAAAATTGCCGGCTTCCTTTTTATACACTATAATGCCATCAGCTCGTATGATTACATTTGCTTGAGCTAATAAATCGTTTCCGACGATGGCTCTAAAATTCGAAACGTATGTCGGTATTATATGCATCTTAAGTAGGCATTCTTCGCCATTGACAGTAACTGTGCGAGTGAATGAACCTAAAGTTTCTACTTTGTTAATGCATAATCCTTTCAAAGGTACAATATCTTGATCAGTTGGTATATCTGAAAAGTAGATATCATAGATATCCTTTCGTATTGCACTGATATCACTACCAGTATCAAAAAGAGCTGCAATTAGGAGTTTAACACAGTTCCTGGGGATTATTTCTATTGTATTTGCATTTGACACTGATTTAGAGCTACTTTGTCGACTGGGACATTGTGCTGAGAGATGTCCAAATCTATTGCGACTGAAACACTTGGTTCCTTTATTTTTTTCTGGACAGTCACGAGATTTATGACCTCTCTGACCACAGTTGAAACAGTTTTCATTTTTTTGATTCCTGTTCATTCGCAATATTTCAATTTTCTAGCATCGTCCCGTTTCCATTCTTTTTATTTTTATAATCTTGATTCTGGCATACCTGTGCTGTTTTCATCTGGTTATACAACTTAATTTTTTCTTTAAATTCCGTAAAGTCTTTAGCTCCATATAAAATCATTTTATTAGTTGTATCATCCTGAATACCATCAATTATATATTGTATTATAACTTCATCCTCCAGGTTAGCCCTACTACCAATTTCTCTCATTGTGAGTACATATTCCTGAACCGATTCTTCTCTTTTCTTTTTTCTTTGCATAAGTAACTTATGTACTTGAGAACTGCTGGTTTTGATCTCAAATTCTTCTATTAATGATTTTTAAGTTTATGCCATGTATTGATACCATTTTCGGACTGGACAAATAGTTTAGCCAATCCTCCCAAACATTTTTTTGCAAAAATTAATTTCTGGAGATCATTCCATCCAGTCAATTCCGCCATCTCTTCAAAATCCATAATCCATCGTCTTACAGGATAATCATCTTTGCCATCAAACTGTCTAATCGTGTCCTCAACATCTCTGAAGCTAAGTGCGAAAGAATCTCTTCTTTGGCTCTTGTCTTCACTTTTTCTTTGCTCATTTTGCTTTTCTACTCTAACCAAATTTCTCTTATTCCTTCCGTTTTCTGTTCTATTTTTTTCTTTAGTAGTATATCTTGTAGTTTCTTGTACTTCCTCGTCCTCTTCATCTTGAGAATGATCCTCTGGCTCTTCTTCATCTTCTTCGTCGCTAGACTCGTCCTCAGTTTTATTATCATTGTTACTAATTGCAAGGTCATTCATGAAGGAACAAATACGCGTTATAACATTACTTTCTGGACCGGAATAGTCTAAATCCAAAACATTACAAACAAAAGCCACAAAATGTAATGCTTTTATCACCCTAACGTTACAGGTTTTAATATTCGATTCAATTTTTGGAAAATCTTTAAGAGTACTCTTTCCAATACGCGACATTTTACCAACAAAAATAGAAAATTACTCTTAAATACAAAAATTTAAAAAAAAAAATACCTAACGTACTGAATAGGTATTACTGGCATACCTAATTTTTTATTTAAGAGGAAAATTTACATTACAAACTAAAAGACCTGCGGAGCAACGGTAGTTTAGTAGGTATAAAAATTACAACTTGAGAGTGGAGCCTACTACAAAATTGCTTCCGAGACCAAACAAAATCAGCATTCATTCATAATTTTAACAATTGCATGTAGATACGAGGGATGCATATTCTAAACTTTAACACGCGAAGTTGAAGACAAAGGAACCGAAAAATATTCCACAATAGCAAAATAATATTACCTATGTATTTTACAATATAAGTATGGTGTAGATTAAAACTTATTTTGGCTGTCGACAAATTTGGTTAAAAAATCTTCTTTTAGGAAATATACCTTTCATTTGACGAAAAACGAAGGCCTAAACGAAAAAAAATATTCTTCATAAAAGTTTCGCCTGTGTATTGACAAGGTAATAGTGCTTTCCTTATATTTTTTGCTATAAAATTAACAAAAATATAGCAATAAACAATTACTGATGTCATTGTTTTACAGGAAAGGAAGCAGCATGGAAAGCAGTCTCTTGACTGTATGCGTCTCTCTCAGGGATGAAATGTATGCAATCTGTTTGACTCTCTTACATTATTTTATATAGGTATTATTGATTTATCCGCTATGAAGGCGAATAATGTATTACTTCATGATTTTTTTTAGGAAAATAAAAAAATAAAATATAAACTATTTTTGGAAGGTATAAGCACAGTATATATAAGTATAGGTTATAAACAGTAAAGCTATTGCTTTGCAGAATGCAATAAATTCCTAATAAAAAAATTCAATAATTAGAAGTATATAAAGCATAAATTAATATTATTAAAATACATAAGTACAGGACTCAAACTAATCAAAATCAGATTCACCACATTAATCTACATTTTCCAAAACATTAGCGGCTATGATCAAACTATTTCTGCAGTTTTTCTGTGCCATACAGGTGCATTAACCGATGTAGCCAATATTTTTTTCTGCATTTGCAAATTTTGCTTCCATAGTCTAGAATAGAATCATATTGTTAAAATATTGTACATATATGAAAATTATCTGTGTATAGTACCTTTTTTGCATTTGCATGATAAGTTCTGTTATTTCTTTCTGGTAGCAGGTCGAGCATAATCTTAAGAGTGGGTATCAGGCTTCAATCTTGATCTACTTTCCATTCATACTCTTCAACATTAGGAAGCTGCATATGAGTCTTTAAAGAGCTTAGCCAAATACTTAGCTGGTAAAAAAATCTTAAACAATGTAATCTTAGGGCGGCTTCAGTCAATGGCATTTTAGCAATTATTTTAAAGGGACCATTAATCTCCTCAAAATGTTAATGGAAGTAACATTGGCAGTTTTTGAATACGGTTTTATGAAAAATTTTTCAAGATTAGAGAATGTGTTTTTAGAGTACCTACGAATCAGTGCCAAATCCATCCAAAAGGTGATGGTGTTCAAGGTAGGTTTTGCAACAGGTTCTTTTTCCAATGCCATACAATTGGTTGGATTTATTACGACCTGTCACAGAATGAAAAGAAGGCAAATTTTTTAGAAGTTTTTTATCCCAATTTAAATCATGTACTGTTATAAATCGTCACGAGTCTCCTCGCCCTATTATGAACCGTATCTTTTTAGTTCAAAACTACTTAAAATAAATTAATAAGACTAGAACATCTGTATCGTTGCAATCAATAATGCAGCGTGAATTCCCCGAATTTCTGGCTGATAATATGTGCAATAAGATACGAGTATCAGCTTCTTCAAGATTTAAATTTAAGAAATCGTCTTTTGATGGTTCAAAATTCATCCCATATTTATTGATACAATTTCTATATCATCAATTGATTTCTGGGACCATCTCTTTTGACGTGTTGTATTTTTGATAGAATTTTATTTATAATGATTAAATACCACATCTATCCTTTGAGCATTAAATTTATTTTTAAAAATAATCTTTACAAATATATTAGCAAATTCTTTAAATGATATGCAACTTTTGGACTTTCCCAAACCTTGAGCTATTGCTATTTCATCAAAAATGTGACAAGTTTTGCAAGATCACCTAGGTGCAGGTAAGTCTTTGTGGGTCATATTGCTCTAAAATATTTCCCAATAAACTCTTATTTGTAGAGGTGCCGAGATACCCATTTACTGTTAGAGACATGGGAGAAGGCTGTCAGATCAAACTTAAATATTTCGGCATAATTACCTAATGCTTCTGTCCATATCCTTTGCTAATAAAATATTGTGAAGAAACTGTTGACCATGCAAGGATTAAGAAGTCATATTTTGATATCATTTGTGTCTTTGCTTCTTGCAACAACAAATCCGTAATTAAAATGTTTAACGAAAACTTACCCAACTTACCCAAATATATTCAGGCATTCAGCTATAACAGGATGAATGTAGATGTAATAAAAACCTAAAAAATGTCTATATTTCTTCCCAATTTATTAGGAACTTTAATATGTAACACACTTATTAATTTTTTAGTAAAAACAGACAATATGACACTTTGTCCATTGGCACCTAACGAAAAGTTTTATAATAAAAAAATGAAAAAAATTTGAGCATATCAATAATGTGATGCATCAGCCGACACGTAGAGAGAAACAGAGCTATACTACGTTTTTCATTAGGGCCTTCCTTTTTGTTAAATGATAAAATTATATTTAAAAAAATGACTTTTTAAACAAATTTTTGAAGGGCTGAAATTTTTTTTAAATAAGTATTACTAAAAAAATATGTACGTGTAGATAAAGGTTAAATCTATGCTCCTCTGGAACCACTTTTTCAAAATTCAATTTAGTTTTTTCTAAAAAAAATTGAGAAAATGGATCAAAAAAGTCGAGTTTTGTTTTTTTTTTAGAAAAAACAAATTGAAATTTTGAAAAAGTGTTTCCATAGGAGCACAGATTTAACTTTTACCTACACGCACATATTTTTTTCTTTTAAAATATGTCAAAAATAAACTTTAAAAGTGGGGTACTACGAAACCCTTGCATGCTCTGCTTTTATTTCTAGCCTAATAACTTTTAGCAAACGCCATTCTCTCTTGTTTTTAAACCGAACTTAAAAAACAAAGTTTAATCTATCATGCAAGCACTTTATCGTACATCTTAAAATATGAGTAGATACTCAATATAAAAATCAAAAGATTATCGGTCTTTAACGAAACAATTTAAAAAAAAAAAGATAAGTCTATAAAATAGAACAATAGCTAACACTGACACTTCTGAGCTTCTAATAGATGTCTTTTTAACTAGAAAGATACCTAGTAAATATCACAAATATAAATAAAGTCCTATATTTTTTTTTAGTAAAAATTAAAGATGCACACAGTGCCAAAAAAAAGTTTGTAGTATACTTAGGCGATTATCTTTCACATTTAACTTTCAAGTCTATTTATTCAATAGCTTTTTATTTAATATATACAGACACTAGGAAAAGGTATCGCTGTTCTTGCAGAGTCTATCAAAAAGCGAAAATAAATATACAACACATGCATCCCACCTGAATCTCTGGATTTATTTTACCAAATTCTGCTGGATCAAAGCGCCTATGGAATCTGGGTAACTGTCACCATCTAATCAGCCAAAACTTAAAAATGTCTTTCTAGAATCTTCTTCTAGGTGCACATGAAAAACTGGATCCCGGACGAGCCCCCAAAAATGTAGGCTCTAATACAATATGAGACTAGGGCTTCGTAATATCTCTTTTATTTATCAAGCGATTTTGCTCAAATTTCGAAATAACACTTATACTTTAACAAAATGTCCAACTTCCGGTTTTACCGGAAATGCTATTAAATTAAATTTTTTAAATAGATCACCCCGTATATTTTTTTTTTTTTTTTTTAATATACGGGTCACATTACGTATGACACTTAAAAGGCCATGAACTGGAAAATAATGTTCTAAACGGGGCATATTGTCAGATTGTGTTTCGAGTTAATCGAGGCTGTTACATTATTTTCCAGTTTGTGGCTTAGTAGATTCCAAAAGACATAAAATTTTCAAGGTGATCCATTAAAAAAATCAAACTTAATACATTTCCCGCACAGAAAAAAAGGTGAACTATATTCAAAATGAATGGTCCTATTTCAATGCTTTGTTGTGTTTGAATATCCGCAAGTAAAACTCGTCTCGATTTTAAACTCTATAGTAATACTTGTTCAACAATAGCTAATAAGCCTTGCTTCAAGATTAAAATCAACTTGCCCTAACTAAAATACCTCTAATTAAATGAAGAGTAACTATTGCTCAATTGCAGTATTATGTACATCTTAAATGAAATAGTTTGGTAGGATTCCCCACTCGACCATTCACTGTTGGGTTCTAATTAACAGTGCTGTTCCTAAAGTGGCGCAAGGAAACAGTAACAAGGCCTGTCTGTAGGGGTGTAGGAGTATTAGAGTACTAATACTCCTGCACTATGGAGTACTAGACTACTAGTACAATCCATAACCTACATAGAACATTAGGCTAATGACCTTAGATGTTGAAGCCGTACACCAATGAAAAAAAAAAAAAATGAAAGTCTTACACTTTTTTAAATATACTTTATTTATATTCAATAATACCTTGTTCTTAAATCCAATACAACTAAATTTGTTACAATATAAATATGAACTGTTAATATTGGCTTTGACATAAATATATTGATTTTGGTTGAATTATAGAATAGTTTCATTGAAGAAATTAATAATTTTGAAATAAGAACAGGTCGTTCTTGCTGTTTAATAGGGTTCTCACTGGTACCTACCCACCGAAAAATATTTTTCAAAATTGTTTTTAGTTAATGTACCAAATTCCTCTGTCCTCTGAGGTGTCCCACCTATAACTAAAAAAAAAATAATTTCATTACAAAACCTAAATGGAACATAAAAGTTTGTCCTAAGATAAGAGGTCGTATCTA